ATAGGATACATATACTGGCTGGAGAAACAGAGAGAGATGGCAGAGAGACAGAAAGCGAGAAATCATTCCCCGGGGGAGATGGGCATACCACACAGTCCCTTCTCCTCCGTTCTTCTCTTAGGATTTTGGGCCCACATGCACATGTGCCCTGCATGAGTTTTAAGCTGCTGGATTCAGGACGAGTACAACCATGGTCAATTACATGAGAGTCCAGTGACATAACCATTATGCCATCTGCTGGTCCCCACAGTAGACACTTTACAATCGTGGCTGAAAGAATGCATAATTTAACGATGAATGAATATTCTTTGCTTTCTCTAAGAAGTTAATCCTCTTGTTCTGGTCCATAATAAATTTATTTCTCTTGGTTGACACCTTCTTTTCCACATAATAACATGCTCAGTTCTCCCCAATCCAAATTAAAATATTTCCACCCTGTTTGTATCAATTATTCCTATATTCTTCTTTTTTTTAACTGCCAGAGGACATAGTTTCTATAGAGAGATGGAGAGATGGATGGAAAGAAAGAGAGAGAGAGAGAGAGAAGGGGGGGGGAGAGCAGCCACCAATGGGACATGGCCATTCCACAATTCCCTCTCCTCCATTTCTCCATCCTATTGGGATTTCGGGCATGCAACATAAGTGCCCAGTATTTTTTTTTTTTTCCTCCAAGCCACCAGGGTCAAGACTTGAACCAGTCAGCCATGTGGGATCTGATTCCCCACCATCTAGGTGACCCGGTTATCCCTTGATTCTTCTTCTTTTTTCTTTTTCAATAGTCTAAAACTGCCTCTTTTCACTTCCTCCTCCTTTAGTGATTTCTTATTTTTTCCCAAAATCATTCCCTACCCTCATCAGTCTCTGAAAATCAATTGTTGAAAGTTCAACAGCCATTGCATAATTGACATGGTACTGGATGGCTTTCTGGTACCAGTCTTTAATATCTTTGACTCTTTAGTAGAATTTATCACCACCAAAAAAACATCTTGAAATTCTCTCTTCGTCTGGCTTCCCTTGCTCACGCTCTCTTCCCTCCTTTCCCAGCCGAAGCTCATAGAGGACAGAAGTTGCTTTTACATCGGTATCCCCACCGCAGCCGGTGCAGTGTCACGGACTATTGCTAATTACTGCCAATGTCTGGGAACTCTGTGGCCCCACAAAAGTGACCACTCTATTCCCTTTTTTTTTTTTTTCTTTTTTTTTTTGGAGAGATTTTCACTGTAGGGCGCGTGCGCTCGCCAGACAGACAGAGAGAGACATAGAGACAGAAAGCGAGAAATCACCCCCCAGGGGGGATGGTCACGCCGCAATCCCTTCTCCTCCATTCTCCTCTCGGGATCTTGGGCACGCACGCACACGCGCCCGGCGTGAGTTTTAAGCCACCGGGTCTGGGACACGAACCGTGGTCGACTACGTGGGAGTCCAGCGACATAGCCATTACGCTAACTGCTGGTTCCCCCACTCTATTCCCTTTCACATAAAAGGAACACAGGATTAAAGGCCTGGAGTTCCAGTTCACATCTCAGACCTTTCTCCATCAGATTAGATGACCCTGACCATCACTTAACCTCTCTGAGTCTCAACCTCTTCAATTACAAAATGGGAATGGTTATAATACCTAGTGGTTATGAGGAAAAATGAGGTAACATGTCAGTTGCTTGGAATAATAGCGGGCAAAGTGAAACACGCGATCGTCATGTTTATTACCTGTAAAATGAGGCGGCTTGGCATTGGTGATGTTTGAGAGTCCACCTAGCTCTAGTCCGTGATTTTACAAAGAGTGGACGCAGCAGTTTTATATTAGCGTACTATTTTACCATCTTTAAAGATGGCAGTCTTCACAGTGATAGCTAGTGAGGGTATCAAACATCATTTGCAAACCAAACCATCGTATTTCTAGATAATCTTCAGATTTGTTTAAAAATCTCTAGTATTTCTGCCCCTTGGAATATTTCTTTCTCTCTAAATGAAAATGGATATGAACGCTGGGCTCAGATTTTTGTAGCTGAATGACTCAGAGGAAAGCCATTCTGCTGTCACTGACTGTGCTCTGGGAAGGTTCTCAATGGTCCAGGCCCCTGGGTCATGGACACATTCTGCATCTGGGTGAGCCGCACGACCACGTGGGGTCTCAGCAGGCTGTGCTGGGAAATGACTCCCTCTGACTGGAAACAAAGAACACAAAGGGGTCTTTCTCCTCAAAGGCAATGTCTCTGTTAGTTTTGAAAGGCACTGACGGCTTCAGGTAATTTGGTGAACACACTGAAATGTGCCTGTGATAGGTTATAATAGAAACACTTTAAATGGGACTGGGAACTTCTCGGTAGCGGGGCCTGTCTTATTTTTCAGTGCCTTGTATACAGGAGGCACTGGATGGTTAGATTAATGAATGAAAGTGCCAGGGAGGCAGCCCTATACCGGACAAGGGTGGCAATCAGGAGACCTTGGTTCCATTCCTTTTCTGGCTCAGCGCCTCCTTGGACATGAGCTTCCTTGTCTGTACACTGGAGAGCCTGGGTTAAGTAGGTGATTTCCTGTATTAGATTGCATTACTCTTCCTGCATATCCCAGTGTTCTTCCATAGCACCACTCTCTGTAAAATCATTCATCCCTACCTTTTTTTCAAAAAAAAAAAAAAAAAAAAAAGAGAGATTTTTGCTATAGGGTGTGTATGCTCCCTGGAGAGACAGAGAGAGACAGAAAGCAAGAAATTACCCCCCAGGGGGGATGACCACGCTGCAATCCCTTCTCCATTCTCCTCTTGGGGTTTTGGGCACACACACACGCACCTGGCATCAGTTTAAGCCATGGAGTCTGGGACTTAGACTGCGGTCAACTACATGGGAGTCCAGCAATGTAACCATTACGCCATCTGCTGGTCCCCATGCCTACCTTTTTGAATTTAAGAGTTCCATGCAGCTTCCATTCATCAGTGAAATGTAGGCAGAGGTGGATCTGTACCACCTTCAGGCAGAGGGAGTTACATCCAGTATGTAGCTTGCCAGGTCTCTTTGGCCTTTGACCTGAGCACATATATACTTTGGATGGTAGCATAGTTACTAAAGGGAAGGTGGGGAACTTGAAAAAATTCCTAAGTCAGGAGATCTCTAAACTTCTTGGGCCAAAGCCTGGCAGTTCATAGCTTCAGAAGATTGCTCAGGAAATGTGTACAGATATCTGTAGTTCCTTTGAAATTATAAGAGAAAAAGTTATTTTGATAGATGAATAGAGGAACAGACATTGGATAAGATACAGTAAAACATAAATGGTAGAGCCTAGATGGTAGACATGCGTACTCTTTGTATTGTAATAGTCTTTCAGTTTTGTTGTATGTTTGAAAGATTTTTATAATAAAAAAACTCCAGAAAATTCCCCAGTTGATTCTGATGATCAGCCTGATTTGAGACTTCTCAACTAGATAATCTAAGGCAGGCAATTTGCTGTGAACTCCCCAATGGTCACCACAGGGAGTCTTTGTTGATCTTTATTTTCATATTTGCAGTGTAATAACGCTGAGCTAATGGTTCCACCATGACTGGATAATTGTTATGGTTAATAAAAATCCTCCTTGCCTTATCAAAACAAGGCCATTCCTCTCCTTTGCTTTCTCAGCATCAAACTTGAGAGCAAAGTAGGGAAATGTGGCCGACTTTGCGCCAATGGTGTGGTTTGGAGATTAAACATGTTTGAAAAGTCATTGCATATTATTCAGACACAAGTCTCTGGCTCACGATGTTTTGGGGTTATTTCATTATAAACATTTATGGATTTTATTTGTAGTAATTCATTTAATCCTTATAAGAGCTATTTGAAATAGATGTTATCTGTTGCCCTGTAACAAATGAAAATTTGTGCCAAAGGCCCACCGTGCCCTGGTACCACTAAAGCCTTACAGCCTGTCATATGTAAGGCCCTTCTTGCTGGAATCAGACAGACCTGCTGCTCAGAAATGCACTGTACAGTCTTCAGGCAGTCAGAGCTGGCTTTCATCCTGCCCCATGGAGTTGCCAGATGAAACACAGGCAGCTTGTGATACAGCCTATACTACGCGATATATATGCTCAAGCTAAACACTAAGTCATTGCTTATCTAAAATTCAAATTTCACTAGGGGTATTGTCATTTCTTCTTGTTTAAAATTTTTGCTATAGAGTATGTGCACTTGCTGGTGAAAGACAGAGGGAAAGTGAGAAAGCACCCTCCAGGGGTATGGCCATGCCGCAATTCCTTCTCCATTTCTCCTCTCAGGATTTTGGGCACACATGTACACACACACTCAATGGGTTTTCCAAGCCACCAGGTCCAGCACGCAAACCATGCAGTCAGCTATGTGGACCCAGCTGCCTTAACGACCACACCATCGGCTGACTCAGAAATCCTTCATTTTTATTTAAGTCTGGGAACCTTATCAGGCCCTACCACATGTTATCTGGGAGGTCTTAGGGGGCATGATTTCATCTCTGTTCTGACAATTAATGATCTATGATTTTGTGATTCATTCTGTCAAAACCCACCACAGCCACAGGGAGAAAGGTAAAACATCGCATCCAGGCCAGACTTTGACACTGGATGTCATGACTCGTCCTACCTGGAGAGAAACAAGGAAGGCTCAGTCTTGGGTGTGAGGAAATGCAGGTGGTTCCTAAACATTTCCACCCCTTGCTGCTGGGTGAGCTCCCACAGCTCACGACACCCTAACTGCACCTCCAGCCCACCCCTGGCTCCAACAACGAGGGACAGCGACAGGATTTCCAAACTGCTCAGGACAAACACCATTAAAACATCTGTCCTCTGGTTCTTCCCCCAGAGGTCTCTAGAGGCCGTTTGAGACCTAACTCACCAAGCATATTTATTTTTTCAAGCCTATAAACCAGAAGAGCCTTTCAAAAGTTGCTTCAGTCAGGCTCTGCTTGTTTGTGTCTTGGCATTCTTGGAACGCATCATTCTAGAATGGCCTACCTCTTCCAAACTCTTCTTAAACATATTCCAAGTCACCTTTCTCCTCCATTTTGTAGCCCATGCCACAGGATCTTAGACATATATTAAAATATTTAGTATGAAATGTCTATACCTAGTCTCTCTTTTTCCCCCTTTCTTTTAAAGAATTACACTTTCTCTCCACTGTGAAAGAACCACATGTTCCTTATTGAAGATGTGAATAATTTGAAAAGGGAAAAAGAAAAACAGTCCCACTTCCCAAAGGTAACTGCCAAAGACATCTTTTTGTTTTGTTTCTTTGCAGCTTTATTACTGCATGTGGTTTTCTACTTTGGTATTCATTGGGAATCTGTCTGCTCTGATATTTCACCTCTTTAGGTTTCTATATTCACATCTGAAAATAAGCTCGGACTGAAAATAAGCTTCTTGTTGTTCGAGGTCATTTCTAGCACTTTCATTCTACATTTTCGTCTTTGTCAGGGACCTTGGAGAATATTCGTGCCTGTGGTCTATTTATGTACAGTAAAAGAAACGGAGGTATGTCAGACAGGTGGGAGCATTTGTGATTGGTGTTAGTTGGGTTACATCTGAGGTTTTGTGTTCCTTTCTGAGCCACACCATGGAAACTGGAAATCTTACACAAGTGATAGGAATACAAAGTGGTACAACCTTTCTGAAGGGCAATCTGGCAGTCTAAGTAAAATCTTAAAATTTTTCACATTTTTGAATTTATCCTAAAGGTTAAAAAAATGATCAATGTTTTAGTCACATTTATTTTAACATTTCTTAGCTTCCTTCCTTTCTTCCTTCCCTCCTTTCTTCCTTGGTCAGAAGGTGCATATGCTTACTGGAAAGACACAGAGAGTGAGAGAAAAAGAGAAAAAAAGGAGAAGTGAGAAATCATTCTCTATGGGAGATGGCCATGCTGCGATCTCTTCTCCATTTTTCTCCCTTTTGGGATATTGGGCACGTACGCACATGCATCCAAGTGTGTTTTTCTTTCTTTCTTTTTTTAAAAAAGAATGGTTTAATTTTATTTATTATTATTATTTTTAAATTTTCTATGGGCATGTGCACTCACCAGAGAGAGAGAAAGAAAAAAAAAAAAGAGGAAAAATGAGAAAGCAAGCCAGCAGGTATGGGACTCAAACCACGGTTGGCTATGTGGGTAGTCAGTTTGTGGGAGTCCAGTGTCTTAACCAGCATGCCACCTGCTGGCCCCTCAAGCATGTTTTTCAAGCCACAGGGAATGGGATCAGCCATGTGGGATCCAGCTGCCTTATCTACCACACTATGGGCTAGCCCCTCTTTATTGTCAGAGGGTGTGTGTGCTTATGAGAGAGAAAGAGAGAGAGAGAGAGAGAGAGCGAGAGAGCACAGACACCCTCAATGGGGCATATCATGTTACAATCCCTTTCCTCTGTTTCTCCTTCATCAGGACTTTGGGTATGCATGCACCTATGCCTCGTGTGTTTTTCAAGACACTGGGGCTGGGATTTGAATGGTAGTCAGTCATGTGAGATCTGGCTCCATATGCTCAGTGCTTAACTGAGCTAGGGGCCAGCCCTACAGCATTTTTAATAAAAGCAAAACAATTGGAAAAAGTAATGAACGACAATAAGAATAAATAATGAATTATAATAGATAACACAAGAGTATAAGATGTAGTCCTTACAATGATGTAATGAGGGGCCGGCAGGTGGTGTAGTGATTGGGCTGCTGGACTTTCACATAGCCAGCTGCAGTTCGAGTCCTGGACCTAGTGGCTTGCTCTCTCACTTTTCCTCTCTCTCTTTCTGTCTCTCTGGTCAAATTAAAAACAATAATAACCAATAAAATTAAATAAAGAATTCTTTTTAAAAATGATGTAATGAAAGGGCACAGGTACAAAATAATGCATACAATATGATTCCATTTATATAAAGTTTAAAAATGTCCATAGCAACTCTTACAGGGGTCAGTGATTACATGGGGGCACAAGGGAGGCCTCTAATTTGCTGGTTAGGTTCAACTTCTTGATTCACATCTACACTCTAATTAAAAACATCCAGCTTCTTCATTATGTTATATGCTGGAAGCTCCTTAGGAGCTTACATGTATTTGTCTTCAACTATTTGAATGGCTATGCTGGTTAGACAGAAAGCTGGTTCATTCTGCGTTTCTCTGCAGGGCAGGACTAGACTAAATAGTAGCAGTTTTCACAGTGCTGGTTTTGACCTAGTCAGGACAGTGGCCGTCCAACGGAAACAGACCCTCTCGGTGGCTTTGAAAGCAAACAGATGCTGCCAGGCCCTCCACTGGACTCAGAAGAGCTCAATCTTATTCGAATTTCTTGATACCACAGCAGGCATGAGAGGGCAGCGGGTGGCCTTACTGGAGTTTGCTGCTTGGCCAAGGGGGCTATTGGGCAACCTCAGAGAAGCACTGCAAAACCAGAGCCGTGACTTCTGCACACTTGCTTTGTTCTGGCTTTGTGAAAGGCCTGTGAGACTTCGGGAGGCCCAGCTCACTTCAACTGCTGCCGTGGACAATCCTAGTAACATTCACTCCACAGAGCATCTTCCTTCTCTGGTTTTGGCAAATGTAGTTGTACCAGGGAAGATTAAAAAGCGAAACTTGGGGCTGGCAGGTGGTGTGGTGGTTAAGGCACTGGACTCCCACATGGCTGACCATGGTTCAAGTCCTGGACCTGGCAGCTTGCTTTCTCACTTTCCCTCTCTCTGGTCAAATTAAATAAATAAATAAATAATTTAAATTTTTTTTTTTTAAAGCAAAACTTAAGTTTTTTATTTTTAGAGAGAGATTTTTGTTATAGGGAGTGTTTGCTCACTGGAGAGACAAACAGAGAGACAGAAAGTGAGAACCCCCCCCCCAGGGGAAGAACCCCACAGTAGTCCCTTCTCCTCTAGTCTCCTCTTGGAATTTTAGGCACACACGCACACACGCCCTGTGTGAATTTTAAGCCACCAGGTCCAGAATTTGAACTGTGATCAGCCATGTGGGAGTCCAGCGACGTAACTGCTACACCATCTGCTGTCCCCAACTCCTATTTTTTTTTTTTTTTTTTTTTTTTTTTTAAGTGAAATTCACTTTCTCAGTTGTCAGAAGAAGGAGGCATAGATTAGACTTTACTGCAGAAAAATAATATACATTTTGCCCTTCTTTCTAAAAAGTTAAACCTCATGATTTTTATGTAGGCACACAGCTACCTGGAAAGTAGCCTACATTCTTCAGCAGGCTTTTTTACCGGTCAAAGTGTCCCTCTAACCACTGAGATATAGCGGGAATGATGACTGCAACTTCCAGGAAGTGTCCTTAAGAGGAAGAACAAGGATGTCTTCTGTCCCATCTCCCCTTTCATGTTTTTTTTTTTTTTTTTTGGAGAGATTTTCACTGTAGGGCGCGTGCGCTCGCCAGACAGACAGAGAGAGACATAGAGACAGAAAGCGAGAAATCACCCCCCAGGAGGGATGGTCACGCTGCAATCCCTTCTCCTCCATTCTCCTCTCGGGATCTTGGGCACGCACGCACACGTGCCCGGCGTGAGTTTTAAGCCACTGGGTCCGGGACACAAACCGTGGTCGACTATGTGGGAGTCCAGCGACATAGCCATTACGCTAACTGCTGGTTCCCCCCTTTCATGTTTTTTAAACATTTTTTTTTTTTAAGAGAGAGAGATTTTTGCTATAAGGTATGTACATTTGCTGGAAAGACAGAGAGAGACAGACCGTTAGAAAATGAAAAATCCACCCTCCTGGGGGGATGATCATGCTGCAATCCCTTCTCCTCCAGTCTCCCCTTGGGATCTTGGGCACTTAGGCACATGCGCCCAGCGTGAGTTTTAAGTCACTGGGTCTGAGACTCAAACTGCGGTCAACTATGTGGGAGTCCAGCAACATAGCACTGATGAATTTCTTTTCTTTTTCAGGACTCAGCTCTAACCGCCCCCTCACCCCCTGCCTCCAAGTTTGGTCTTTCTCTCCATCACTTGGTCCTCTGCCATTGGATATGCCAACTGTGCTGCCTTTCTAGAACATGAGCAGATCTTTCTGATCCGTTCCTCTTTGCCCTTTTCTGGTGAGTCCACAGACTTTCTTTGCAGGTACTCTTTGCACCACTGGGTACAAACATTTAGAACTTTTCAGGCCTACAAGAGCTCAAAGAAACAAGACCTTTACTTAGATGTATCCCTTTCTCCATGACCCATTTCTCACCTTTGTGAGGATATATACTTTTCTTTTTTTTTTGAGAGGTTTTCACTATAGGGCGCGTGCGCTCACCAGACAGAGAGAGACATAGAGACAGAAAGCGAGAAATCACCTCCCAGAGGGGATGGTCACACCGCAATCCCTTCTCCTCCATTCTCCTCTCGGGATCTTGGGCATGCATGCACACGCGCCCGGCGTGAGTTTTAAGCCACCGGGTCCGGGACGCGAACCATGGTCGACTACGTGGGAGTCCAGCAACATAGCCATTACGCCAACTGCTGGTTCCCGATATATACATTTGAAAAGACAGTGTAAACAAGACACAAGGACTCCCTTCCAAAATCCCCTAAATGCAAAGTCTGGGATTTCTTTTTGTCTCATATCCTTGCTCAACACTCCACCCCTAACTCTATTTAACCCCAGGGTGCCAGTACTCAGAGTGCTGTCCATAAACCCTGGGGGTCCCTTATTTTTATTACAACACTAAAACATTATTTGCTTTTCCCGGATGATGCCGAAGCAATAGTTGTAAACTGTGGTGAATCGAGGCAGTGGTATCCAGCTGTATGGGTCATTGTAAACTTCTCTACAATATACTTGCAGAAAAAATTAAAAATAAAGCCAAGGCCAATGTTACTTAAGAATACTCTTGACGAGGCAGTAAAAAAAATTAGTTTTATTTAATCTTGACTCTTATGTACACATCATTTTACTATTTTGTGCAGCAAATTGGGAAGTATGCTTAAGGCTCTTGAGCATACCTAGGTATAATGGCTTTCTTGAGGAAAAGCACTCATATAATCGAGATCCTACACTAGTTGCTTATTTTATTTTAAATTTGCTAGAGTGTGTGAATGCTTATTAAAGAGAGAGAGAGAGAGAGAGAGAGAGAGAGAAAGAGGGAGGGAGGAAAAGTAGCCCCAAATGGAGTATGGTCATGCTGCAATCCCTTCTTCTCCGCTTTTCCATTCTGTTGGGATTTGGACATACATGCATGCACATATGCCTAGCATGAGTTTCAAGCCACTGGAGCCAAGATTTGAACTGTGGTTGGCTATGTGAGATCCAGGTTCATTAACCACCAGGGCATGGAATTGGCCCACTAGTTACTCTTTTCATTGAATACCACTTGTACTTTCCGAAAGATCATCTAACTGACAAACTATGGTTTTTTAGACTTAAGTTTCTGGCAGACATCTTCTTGAACATAAACAAAGCCTGTCACTTCAAGAAAAATACTGGCAGCGTTTGTTGCTGATGTAAAAATCCAAACTTTCAAGCTTTTCAGCACATAATTAAACTCTCTAATATACAATTTTGAAATTTAGAATGACAATAGGACTTACTCCATGCAGTGGCTATAGTAGTCAATAAAAGAACACCTTAATGTGCTATATATAGTGCTGACATGTGCTAGGTTCTGAATAAACACTGTTTTCCACAAAGCTACATCGAGCTAAAAAATGAGATTTTTAAAAAATCATGTTTAATTTAACCATATATTTGAGTCAATTCCACCAAAAAAGCATTTATGTTGATACTCAAGTAGATAGTTCTGGAATTAATTCATAGTTCTTTTTTTTAAAAGAATTATTTTATTTTTAACTTTATTTATTATTATCATTATTATTTTTCAGTTTGATCAGAGAGAGAGAGAGGAAGTGAGAAAGCAAGCCGCCAGGTCTGAGACTTGAACCGTGGCTGGCCATGTGGGAGTCCAGCGCCTTTAACCACCACGCCACTTGCCGGCCCCATAATTCATAGTTCTTTATTAATGGATGAAATAGTGACAGGTATTTCAGTCATCTTCTCGTACGGATAAAACCACACTTGTTTCACTGAAATCAATTGACTCCTACTTATTAAAACTGATCAAAAACAGCTATGGGTGTGTCTATGACAACCTGCACATTTTTTTAAGCTTCAAATTGACCTGCAATAATGCAGTCTCAAGATACCATTCTGCCATCTGCCAAGGAAGCTATTAGAGCTAAGGTCTTAATTTTCTGAGTCCGGTAAATACCCTAGAAGAAGACCAGTCGTTTCCTCTTACATCACAGCAACATTGTACCTTTCACTGCCCCAAACAGCAGGCTGCAATCTTTTTCACTAGAAGAGTGACTGACTAGTAAGTTGAAATACTAAGAATTCTGTTAGATATAAGAGAAATATTTTGCTCAGAACAGAGGTTCTCAGAGTGGTCTGTGGACCCAAGTATGGTCTAATGCTAAAGACTGTATTGTACTCTGACCTGAAGGGCACAGGACTTATTTGTAATACGTGAGCCAAACTCTTAGTTATGCCTTCATAGGTAAGAGTGACATTTAAAAGTATGCTTCAAAATTGTGATAAATAATGGATAAATCTGAAATAATATTACTGAAAAGACAGGAACAACAAATACAAACTATGCTGTACTATTTTATAAGCTTTTTTTAGGCTACATTATTAAAAATAGATTTCTATGTGATAATAAAAGACTCCTACTTGAACTTTTAGATATTAAGTTTAAAAGGTCTCTCCATTTCTTAATTTGGACCCTAATATAAAAGCCGAACAGAAAATATTGCGTATGATCTGGATGCCAAAAAAAATGATAATAAAACTTACATAGAAAAGGGAATTCTAGAAATTGATAGTGTAATTTTTATTTAAAATTATGATGTTTTTAAAATAAGGAATATAAGTAATATACTCTTACTTTCTGAAAATAATGTAAAGTAAATGTGGGAAGAATCCCTCCAGTTCCCAAGGATAAGGTCAACTAGAGGCAAGTAAATGAAGAACAGAACCAAGGTTAGGTCTCTGTTAGCAGGAATTCTCCCTGCTTGAGACATGTTGTTCTTGTTGGCTAGAATTTTCCCTCCTCTCACCTTCTATTAACCCCTTCCCTGGCCTCATCTTTCCTTTTAACTTTTTGCTTAAATATTACCTTCTCAGGAGAGCCTGTTCTGATCCCTATCTCTAAGCTTATCATCCAAATTTACCCCATACATGCTACCTGGTTGTTCTCTATTCCAGCTTTTTTTTTTTTTCTAATGCTTTTTTAAAAAAATTTACTAGAGGGCATGTGCATGTGCCAGAGAGAGAGAGAGAGAGAGAGAGAGAATGCACACCGTGTGAGTCTTATGCATTCGGTGTGTTTTACAAGCTGCTAGATTGGGAATGGTGGAGGGAATGAGTATCTACACTCATGGACCCTAGTCTCTTCTCTACATCAATTGGTTGAATGGCTTTGATCAAATTTCGTAAGTTCTATGGGTCTCAGTTTCTTCATCTGACAATGAGGGAGATTCCAAAGACTTCCAAAGAAGCATGCTCATTTTAATGTACAAGATCTTAAGTTAATCTGACTGTATTTCTGTGGTGCTGCCAACCATTCTTTTCCTAGTTTTTGAAGAGGTGTAGACTTTTTAATTATTTCTGAATATAAATAGATATTTTCCAGAAAATGTACCAGTAAGTATATTAAGTTTTTGGTACGCTTGAATGACTAGACGAAAAGGCGGTAAGTTTTGAGAGGTGCTCTGACAATATTTGCACTCTTCCATGTATTTTTAACCAATACACAACTAGTTCCATTTATTTCCACAAGAAAAACTGGATATCCTGCTTTCAACACTATTAGCTGTGTGATCTTGGACAAGTTCCTTAACTTTCCTGAGTCAGTTTTCTCATCTATGTAACAGGTATGTAATAAAGACAGATCACCAACCTGTAAGATAGTATAAAAAAACTAAATAAGATGTTCCCCGAGTGGAAACAAACTCCTGGCCTAAAAGATTTAAAACAAAGTGATTTTTTTAGCCAGCACATTGCCCCTAGAAGACTTAAACATGAACTAAAACCCAAGAGATTCATGGAAGACCTGAAGACCTCCTGACCTAACTGATAAGAAAACAGGCCTCGCTGGAGACATTCAAGCAAAGGTTGGACAGCTACTTTCCCGGAACAAAAAGGAAACTCATGCATCAGAAAAGGTGACTAATAAACATACCACAAGAATATGGTTGCACAGATATCAGAATCTGATCAGATAAAACAGTTTAAGGAATTTCTTGGAACCTACAATAAACTTACAGAAGCATGCTTTTGGGACTGCCTTAAGGACTCTACAAGAGAAGTAAAAGCTGAAGAGATCACGTGTTCAGAAAGTTGCTTACAGAAGTATCTAAAAACGACACAAAGAATATCCATGCACTCTCAGGAATATCATATTTAGCAGAATGAAGTCTTGGCAGCCAAAGCAGGACTCCTTGGCCAACCACGATAGAGAGGTCCAGATGAATGGACTATCAATGAAAGTGTGCCAACAGCGATTGCACTGAAAGTGAGGATTCATCTGACAGAATCCCTTGAAAACAGTAGTCACCATGTTAAACGGTCAGTCATGACAGTTTGGCAACTGGAAACCACTAGAGAAACAAAATCATTATATACCAAGGATAATCAAATTAGAAGGTATTATTGTTAAATGAAAGTAATACAATGCAATTTTTAAGATTCAGCAGCTTGGTGACTTGATTAGAAAAATAAACATTGTTTCTTAAAAAAAAAAAAAGACTAAATAAGATAACCTAGAATAGAGAAGGTGCTCATAAAGTGTTGGTTAGCTCCCAATCCATTTTATCCCTCAATTAGCTTATCAATGACTTTGACTGTTCTAGGGCACAGAACAAATTACTGTTCTTACTGTTGACTGTGTAGAATATAGGGGATGACCATTGAGGTATATTTGAAAATATCAAGGAGGCATGCAGTGTAGGAAGGAGAGAGTCAGTGTTCAAACAGAAAGACATGTGTTAGATTTTAACATACAGCTTCTTTTCACTTTTGTAAACTACTCTATGACAACAAAGCTAAAGTCATTCCTTACTTTTTTTTATGCTGAAAAGCTACAAAGCCAAAAGCAACAGAGAACTGTATAAATAAAAGCAAACAACTTGGGAACTGTGGGGGTGTTATTTTGACCGAAGAAGGAATAAAACTTAACACCAGGTGAGAAGAGAATGGTCTCTTTTCACTACCAAGTCGTTATTATCAGAAATTGTATTAGGCAATATGGGGGCTGTTACTTACCAATCATAAAAATAATTTTACACTTCCTCAAATCTTCCATGAAACCTTTAAAATAAGAATACTTTAAGTTATTGGCAAGAAATATTACGCTGAAGACCTGATTTTACTCAAGTAAAAACCTAAATCCTGGAGTTTTGTAAATGCAAAGTCAAGTAAATGTGTTTGTAAGCTTCAGGTAACAGGCACTGGTGACCATTTCAGCTCTATTTCCAGACTCAGGGAACACATTTTCCTTTAAACATGCAATATCAAAGTTAATCGACAAAACTGATGTCATTAAATTTAGCATGAATCATAAAGACAGCTAGTTTTAAAAATTATTTTTAAATATTTCTGAGTAACTCAGTTTGGTGTTACTTCACGTTTGAAAAATTTTCTAAGCTCCCTTTTAATAAGGAGGGATTAAAACATCAAAAGTTTGGGAGACAAAAATAGAAATTTCAGGGCCAGCAGATAGTGTAGCAGTTATGTAGCTGGATTCCAACAGGGCCAACTGTGGTTCAAGTCCTGGACCTAGAGGCTTGAAACTCATGCCAGGCGTGCGTGCATGTGTGCCCAAGATCCTGGGAGGAGAATGGAGAAGGGATTGTAGTATGGCCACCCCCCCTTGGGGGTGATTTCTCATTTTCCCCTTTTACTGTCTCTTTTTTTCTCTCCCAGTGAGCACATGCACCCTAGGGCAAAAGCCTCTATTTAAAAAAAATTCCATTTACAGCAAATAATGCTGTTTGCCTTCTAAGATAGTGATATAAAATTTTATTTTAAAATAAATACATCTAAGTAACAACAGTGAGTCAATTGCAGAAAACCAGTAAGTGAATAACATACCATATGGTAATTTAAGATAAAATAAAAGTCATGACAGTGGTGAGTCAGTAGTGAACTGCAGGAACCACTGCTTTAAGGCAAAAGAATAATTCATGGTAGGGATTTTAGGTAAAGTGTGAAACCCTTTGGGCTTTGTGGAACCCTAAAGGATTTCAGATACAGGGTACAGTGGGAAATCTGAAGAGGGGGGCAGATAAGAGCTTCATTTCTGGTTCTGTGACCAGTTCGACGTAGGCAAGCGACTTCCCCTCTGTGGACCTTAGTTTCTATCTGTAAAATGAATGGGTAGGGCCCAGTGATTTCTAACATCTCTTTCTGTTCAAATACCTAGGATTCTGTGGTTCCCGGAAAGTGAATGGGCCACATGAGGAAATAGCTTCCTTTGTCCTCTGGCCAAGAGTATGTTGTTATTATTGTTGGATGTTTCAAATACCTTCTTAAATAAATAAACCATAATTCTAACAGACCTTGAGTGAGAATGAGGGATTACTACAGCTTAAAACCTGAATTGGGAACAGGTCTGTGAGGTCTCAGTTTATGGGCTCAGAAAATGCTAATAGTAACTGCTTAAGTCTGGAGACAAGGGTTCCTCAAACTAAACAAAAAGAAATTTAGAGTGAGGGCCCCAGGGATCGGGGGAAACAGCAGTCTTACATTAGACTGTTTCAGAGAGGAGCTGAGACAAGCTATCTCCTTTGCTTTAAGGTCATACATTAAAGTTTATTTATAAAGATCAACCAGCTATAACAATAGGAGAGTTACTAAGTTGTGCAGGGCAGGGTCAAACCTCTCCTTTGAAGGCTGAGTTGCAGGATGGGTGAAGACTGCAGCTACAGATTAGTTCAGGATGTGTGAAGTTCAGTTAGAATTTGTACAAGCCAGGTAGGAGGTACTGCTCCATCCTAGAGGGCTATTCTAAGCAAAAGAGGATGATGAAAAGCTTAGGAGGCAGGCCCTAATAGAGTTAGAGAATCTTGCCAGGTCCAGTTTTCCACACCTCTGGACTGGCCAATTGTTGAGCAGCTCAATCTAGTATCCACAAGGGCAGGGCAGTGGTGGCAGTGATGGTGGTGGTGGTGGTTCTAGTGGCAGTGATTGTATGAAAGTTCAATTCCACAGACAAGAACTATGCTTAAAGAATCCAAAAATGTTTCTTCAATGTGCTTATGCAAGAGCCATGCAGAGTGAAGTAGGTGGCTGTGGATAATGTGGGCTGTGGTTAGCAAGAGCTAACATTCAAAATCAAGTCCACAGAGCATTATGCTGGCCAACAAAATGTATCTGAGGCTGATGTTTCCTTTAGTCAGTCAAATGTAACTAGTGGGAGTCACTGGGAATAATTTTGAATAATTTATTACTCTGGCTAGCACCTATGCTAAGGGAGATGCTTTTCAAGCTGTAAGACTACTGAGCAGACATTAATGATGTAGAATAAAAAAAAAATTCATGAAGTTTTAAAGTAGACACACTGGAGTTCAAAGATGTTTGGTGGTTTTTCTGGAAACCCAGCCCTGTGGATGTACATTGCAGATCCTTGCTTTCCAAGGTTCCTGAGCATCTGTCTAAGCAGAGAGTAACTGAATGAATGCCTTAACCTATGAGAGAGAGAAAAAACAGGGCATGAAAAACTGGGATGGGTTCAAATGAGAGAAAGAACTGGAAGCAGAGGAAAGAAGTAACTTTGGGGTTTTTGGAACCATGTTTTTTTTTTTTTTTTTTTTTTTCCTGAGAGATTTTTGCTATAGGGCACGTGCACTCGCCAGACAGACAGAGAGAGACAGAGGGATAGAAAGCGAGAGATGGTCTCCCAGGGGGGATGGCCACACTGCAATCCCTTCTCCTCCGTTCTCCTCTTGGGATCATGGGCACACATGCACATGCGCCCGGTGTGAGTTTAAGCCACCGGGTCTGGGATCGAACCGTGGTCAACTACATGGGAGTCCAGGGACAGCCATTACGCTAACTGCTGGTCCTGGAACCATGTGGTTTTCACGTTGAAAGAGGAAAGGTATTTCGTTGTTGTTCTTTTTAATCAAATAGGTGCTCCAATCTCTTTAAGGAGTAGCCTATGGTGACTGTGAAATTCTGTTGTCTGGAGTTTTCTAAGGCAGATACGCTGGTATTCCTCACACATAGGGGTTATCCCATGTTCTGTGAGTTTACTTAATGAAGTTGAGCAACTTTGAATGTATCTGCAATCTAGAAAACTGGCCATGATTATTACTGTGTCTGTTTTATTTAGAGGGGTGGGGTAGGGTGCTTCAATACTATTTCAGTTTTAAAAAATAGTTTTTATTCAAAATTAATGATGGTGCATTAATATAATATAGACATTAAAAATTCATTTTAGAAAGAGTTTTTAATGGAGTGGGAACATGCGTCTGTTGAATGTACAAATATTTGGATAATATTTATATATACACATGTATTCTCAACTATGTAAAAATAGATATATAGACAATACAGTGGAATGAAATACTGTAGAAAGCTAACCATGATGACTTATAGGTTGTAAGGTTTTAGATAGCTCCTATTTTCTACCATAAAAACAATGTCCATAGTAAGTATGTGTTAATTTATAGCCAAGATAAAAGGAACTTTATTAGACAATCAATCATCCCCTACCCAGTTGAGACCAAATTGCTTATTTGTGCTTAACTGAGTGACAGCTGAGTCATGGCTCATGTTTATGTGTCTTTCCCCTTGAATCACCATGAGGTCACTTGGTGACCGTAATTTTCACGTTACTGCTATTGCCATTATTATCAAATGACACTTTGTCTTCTGCTGCCTCCTCATAGATCAGTGCAGGATTAGAGCTGGGATTATGTAGAAACCAAATCACTTGTGTGTGTTCATAGTCAGTACTATAAATGTATTTCCATGAACCATAATCATGACAACTTTTTCTTTTGAGAGATTTTTGCAATAGGGCATATGCGTTTGCTGGAGAAACACAGAGAAAGAGACAGAAAGTGAAAAATCACCCCCCGGGGGAATGGCCATAATTCAATCCCTTCTCTTCCATTCTCCTCTCAGACTTTTGGGCACCCGTGCTCACATGACCAATGTGAGTTTCAAGCCGCTGGGTCAGGGACTCAAACCATGGTTAGCCATGTAGGAGTCCAGTGATGTAATCACTATACCACCTGCTGGCCCCCATAATAACTTTTATTACTGAGTGGAAATGTTAAAAGTTATTTTACCTAGGGCAATGATGACCTTTATCCTTTGTGGCAGTCTCAAATTCACATAATTTTATCTATTTTCAATTATGTGCATGGCTAATTATGAGTGGATTTTTTAGTGTTTGCAAACCTTCTACTATGACAAACATGACCAAGCAGTATGAGCCTGGTCTACGTTTGGCTAAATGCTGATGTTACACTGCAGAATAGTTACCACTATGTGGAAAAAATAGTTTTATGTTCCAATTAAATTTGAAAAGTGTCAAATTAAGAGTTAGAAATCTCTCTTTACTGCAGGACTTGTAGAAGCCTACTATGCTATTACATATGTAAATCTTCCAATGAAAATCAAATGTTAAGTATTTCCAAACTTATTTGACCAGACCATTCTCTTTTTACTGAGCCTCTCCAGAGTCAAGGAAATGCATCTCTTAGTAAGGGATCCCTTCGGTTCTTTACATAGTCCAAGAAGGGAGAGGTCCAGAGAGTTCCACTGTTAGTCACATCCCTTGGGTAGGGGGAAAACACATACTATTGGTATTTTATTATCTCTTAGTTGGTGTTTAATAAAAAAGGCAAGTGCAAAGCTACTAAAATGACAACTTTGATCTAATCAGTAAAGGAAAACTCACCTCCTGTGGTGTCTTCTCCAAATACATTTAACTGGTCATCACCCTGTTAAAAAAAGACAACAGAATAAGATGATAATGCTAAGAGGTATTGAGCTAAACTCCTTGTCAGCATTAACACAATTAAACTTTCAAACTACTTTATGAGGAACGTTTTACAGATGAAGCAGCAGAATGTTAGCAGTAAAGTTGCTGACCATCACATTCTAGGGAGGGACAGAGCTGAGATTTAAACCTGGGCTCTCTCTCCCGAGAATCCACACTGTCTTAACGGTTAGGCACCTTGTCTCATCTTCTTGGTGCATAAGCTATCTATGGACAGAAAAACTGACTTCAATTGGAAGCGTATGGATAGGTGCGGTCACAGATGTTTCATGAATAGTCCATAATGTAAAGCTGGGCTTGGCACACTTTTTCTGTAAAGTACCGGATAGTAAATATTTGCAGCACTGTGGGCCATATGGTCTCGGCTGCAGTTATGTAACTGCTGGCTATCATTTGCCGATCCCTGAACCAAGGAATAAAAAAGGGGAAGTTGAAGTGACTAGCTTTTATTGATGCCTGCCTTTAAAATTTTTGTTTTATCTTTTTTTTTTTTTTTAAGGTTTTTGTCAGAGAGAAGAGCCAAGCCACAATCCCTTCTCCTCTATTCTCCTTCAGGGATTTTGGGCACACACACACACACACACACACACACACACACACACACACACACACACACGCCCAGTGAGCTTTTCAAGTTGACACACGCCCGGTGTGATTTTCAAGCCACTGGGTCTGGGGCTCAAACCACAGCCATGTGGGAGTCCAACGCCCTAACTACCACGCTACCTGCTGGTCCCTGGTTTTCTCTTTTAATCACACTCACACTTTGTTTTCCTCACAGAGTAGCACATGGGGTTGGGAAAAAATTCTGAAAGCATTTTTATAAAAAAGGCTTTTGGTGGCTCTTCATGCTGTAATGTTCTGTTCTGTGAGGCTGAGGACACTTAGAAGTGTCTTGAGTTTGTATCCTGATGTCCCCCCTGTGATCCTGGCTGGCTGAGACAGAGGGAGATCACAGTGTGTGAAGACCCTGTTAGGGTGCATCTCTTTCTCTTTTCTGAAAGAATAAAGAAACTTAAAAGGCATTGGCTGAGAAGTCCCACCTGTGTCTTCATTTATCTCATTTTCCCACTCGTTTATCCCTTATAGGTAATGACTTACAGAAGTTTCTTTTCAGATACACAAAAATATCTTCCAGATATTTAGGGATATACTTGAATATAATTTTTTTAAAAGTTTATTTATTGAGAGGAGAGAGAGAGAGAGACCCTAACAGTGTCTTTCTGCTGCAATCCCCCTCCTCCTGCCCCAGAGTCTCAACCAGCTCAGACTTGGCCATGTGTGTCATGTGTGTACTTGGTCTGGGAGGTCCCAGGACACACACCTTTCCCATGTGGACCCACTTGCATTACTGCTGGCCATCACCTGGCCCATGAATACACATTCTTGCAACTACCATTTCCTACACGTATGTAGGATACTTTTATTATATATGCATATGTGTTGAAGGAAACAAAAACATTTCTCCGTAAAACAATAAGGTTTGCTGAGTTGAAGGTTAGATCATAGGGAGACTTTCTCCTCTGTTCTCTGCCTGAGAATTGGACCTAAGTTCTCCCCTGTGGAGACAGCTTACTTGTCAGCTCAGCATAGTACAAGTGGGGCAGAGGAATCTGGGAACAAGCTTTTCTACTTTCTCAGAGTTTTCCTGTCACTGGAGTCTAAGACTGCTTGGTCGTTTTTCTTATTTCTTCTTTTTTAAAAGAATTGTTTAATGAATTATTTTATTTAACTTTATTTTTATTTTATTTATCTATTTATTATTATTTTTTAATTTGACCAGAGAGGAAGGGGGAGGGAGGGGGAGAGAGAGAGAGATATATATAGAGAGAGCAAGCAAGCCACCAGGTCTGGGACTCAAACCGCTGTCAGCCATGTGGGAGTCCAGCGCCCCTAACCACCACACCTCCTGCCGGCCCCTGTCTTATCACTTCTAAACTGGCTCTCTGTTGAATAGACTATATAGGCTGGGAACATAGGCCACTGGTCTAGAAATCCTTTTGAATTGAGGTCTCTTCTGAGTGATGGGCAGCATCTACTAAAATAATCTTCTACTGGGTTTCCTCTCATTGAAGACTTGTTCTCAGGAGAGTGTCTCAACTAAGTACTGATATGGATTGAAAAAGAGATTGCTTTTTCTCCAATGTTTATGATACAATACTATTCACTGTTCATCTATTTGCCTTTTCACTTACCAATATGTCCTGGAGTTCTTTCCATAACAGTACACAAAGTCTCAGCTGCACAATATTCTATTACATGGTTGGCACCATAGTTGCTGTTTTTAACTACTCCTTTATCGATGGACCGTTGAGTTGTTCTCAATCATTGACTACTTTTTGGGAAAGTGGCATAGTGAATAAACTCATATGCCATTTCATACACATATTCCTCTAGGATACATTCTGAGAGGGGACATTGTGTGGTCAAAGAGCAAATGTATTTACAATAATTTTGATAAACTTTCCCCAAATTGCTCCCCACAGAGGTTGTACACTCTTGCAGACCCTGGTTCTAATTCAGTTTGGTGCAGGAGTCAGTTAAATGAGGTTGTCTGGTTGCATTAACACTCCCTTGTGGTAAATTGCCGTGAAAACACTCCGTTTAAAGACAAGAGCCTTGCTATCCTTTTTAGAACACAGGCCTTCAGGGCAACTTTATTGCTTGTCTTTTTAGATCTGCCTGTCTATCCAGAGTCAATCCAGGTGAGAGAAGAGATTTAATTGGCACGGTCATTCAGGTACACATTGATATTAATTCCCTTCTGCAACAAGAAAAAGCATCGGTACCTCTCAGTGAGCCTCCCGCCACTTCCCTTGTTGAAATCCTTGCATTTCAGAACTGGGAGTACATGGATCATCTAATCCCACCTTGCTACCATCTTGTCCCATTTTATGGATGAGGAAACTGATGTTTAAAGAGGTCATGTGAGAGACCCGTGGCCATGTCATCATGTCCATAGTGAGGTCAGGGATGGGATGAGAGTCACATGGCTCACCAGGTTGTACAGCTCTGTAGACTGTGACTCACCATTGTAGCTACCTTAGCGACACTGTTTGTGCTGTCCTCCCACCCCTTCAGTCTCCCACCTGTGCCCACCATCTGCCTGGGGTGCCCATCTTCCAACTTCATTAAGAACTCTCAGCTCTTTGATTTCTGCTTCAAGTTGGGATGAATCTGTGGTGCAAGCTGTGTCCCAGAGCTCCCGCAGGACGGGCTGAAGCTAGGATCAATCCATGACTAATTACATCATTGCTTAACTCTAAGTGCCTCCATCCTGCTTCTCCCTCCCCTTCCCCTGAGAGTGCTCCCTAAGAATGCACTTGGACAAGAATCTCTGTCTCAGGCTCTGCTTCTAAGAAAGCTGCCCTAAGTTAGGGACTTATTGGAAGCAATTACTACATAGTTAATTAACATAATTTGCCTAAGCTTAATGCAACTACACAGTAAGTGGTTCAGTAGTATTTACTGGACAGAATTTTTTTTATAAATTTTATTTGTAGAGAGATTTTTGCTAAAGGGTATGTGTGCTCACCATAGAAACAGAAAGCAAGAAATCACCCTCCCGCCCAGGGCATGGCCATGCTGCAATCCCTTCTCCTCCATTCTCTTCTTGGGATCTTGGGCTCGCACGCACATGAACCTGGTGTGAGTTTTAAGCTGCTGGTTCCATGACTTGAATCACTATCGACTATGTGGGAGCCAGAGATCTAACCATTATCAATCTCCTGGTTCCAAGATTGTTTAATCAGAATCAGCATATCGATTTTCAAACAGCTATTGATTATATCTATATAATGTTGAGAGGAAATTCCTGAGTCTTCCCCCTCAATTTTTAATATTACTGTTAGGTTGTCAGACTTATACTCACCTTACAGGCTAAGCTGTGTCTCTTTTTTATATGTGGCTATCATGTTTTGGGTGTTTTATAATAATTAATATAACTTCATAAGACAATGTACTACATTCTAAAGTGCCTATTTGACTTCTATTTGGTTTCTTTTTTTTTTTTGGAGAGATTTTCACTGTAGGGCGCGTGCGCTCGCCAGACAGAGAGAGACATAGAGACAGAAAGCGAGAAGTCACCCCCCAGGAGGGATGGTCACGCCGCAATCCCTTCTCCTCCATTCTCCTCTCGGGATCTTGGGCATGCACGCACACGCGCCCGGCGTGAGTTTTAAGCCACCGGGTCCGGGACATGAACTGCAGTCGACTACGTGGGAGTCCAGCGACATAGCCATTACGCTAACTGCTGGTTCTCGAGTCTTGCCTGTTTTTAATCCATAGAGGAATCTAGAGTCCCATTGAAGGGATATAGTCAGGACTTCAAAGTAGGCTCAGTGGTATAATGGGAAGTGGAAGATGGGGAGCAGAACTTTGTTTTGGTCTCTATTCTTCATTCTCCAGTCAACCCAGAAAGATCAGGAGAGCAAACACTGCCTACATTCCACTTTATTTTCCTGTGTGGATGTACAGGCAAGAAACTGCTTTTATAAGGCTGAATTCCAGTAAGAACAGGTGTATGAATGTGTTTTTCTTTGTGACCAGAGTGCATATCGTCACCACTTTAAGAAATGAATATCCAGTTACTCCCAATTCCCAGAATAACTGAATTTTAAGTGGGGGAAATTCAACCAGAACAAGTTAGGATCACAAATGGGTTCATTGGGTTCACTAATTTTAAGAGGCCATGTTCTTCAACCTGCTTTGATTACAGCATAGTAGGTGCTCCTGAAGGACTGATTTCATGTGGCATTGTCATGAACAGATCACATCATAAGAAAGTTAACAAGAAAGAGTACTTTAAAGCTTTGAAAGAGCCCTTGCAGATGGGACCTCACTGACTCCTTACTCCAACCATGTGGATAAATGGCATATCGGGGATTCTGAGATGCCACACAATGGGGATGTCCCTGAGCCTCAAGGTCCCAGGAGGTGGACTGGTCATTGAACTCAGCTACTGGACTCACCTCTGCTTCCTCACAGCATCCTCTTACTGCCCTTGGAGACGGGGACTATCTATTTAGACATCCCTTTTACCCTTCCTTATTTAGACAGATTTTATTTTAAAACTGCTTTTGGGACTACAAATTAAAGCCCTCCTGGGAAGAAGACTGAAGTAGTAGGTCATTCAGGGATGTCTTTCTAGTCTAGAGTAACTTGTTTGTATTAAGCAGTGTGTGTGTGTCATGGTATAAAACTATGACTAGCTTCAAATAGGATTATGAGAAGGAGGCTTACTTGAGCACAACATGTTACTGGTAAGATCACTTTCTTCCCCTAAAATTCACAAACAGGTGCTGTGTGTGGGGGAGACTATTTTTTTTCCCTCAGACACTGAGTACAGATAACTTCAAAAAGAAGGAAAAAGGGTAAAAAGCATTTTACAGAGATTCCCTAGTTTCTGAGATAATGCAAGGAGCAATCTTTCCTAATTTTTTTCTTACCTCAATGAGTACTAAGCAGATAACTAAATTCTGGAAAAATCATAACTGTGAAATACTTGCATATTACAATTTTGCTAGATTTCTATTCAAATGCTCTAGTGACTCATCTGGGGCTAAAAGAAACAGCAACAGAATGGTGGGGAGAGGGGTGGAGCACTCAAATGTCCTACAGCTTTCAGAAGGATTCACTTTATTGAGGAGCAGAATCTTACTAGGACAGAATAATCATTTAAAAAGAACAGACACAAAGACATGAGGCTATAGTCCCATCTTATACCCTGAAAATGAATTTTTGGGATACTTCCTTTATACCTCTTTGAAAAACCAGCAAAACATCTCACACATAAACAATTTAAAAAATAATTTCTGGAGTTATTATTTAGGTAGTCTTGAGAGTGTTATCAACATGTCAGCTCTCATATACTCTCAGAAAAACACTAGGAGGTAGATGAATTAGATATTTTCCATTTTTCAGATGAGGAAACACAGAAAGGCTCTGTGACCTCTGGAGGGTGCCCCAGCAGGTCAGGTTCTGCCTCCCTTCTGCTACCCCAGATGTGTGAAGCACAGGAGGACACAGAAGAGTGAGCGAGGTGGGGCCTGGTCATGAACACTCACGGCATCATCAGAATAGAAACGAAGGTGGTGTCATTTGCTCAAAGAGGGGCTAAAGCTGAGTCATCCTTATCAAATGACTTGAAAGTGAATTTTACAAGTTTTGCCAGTAAACTATGAGTGAAGTTCTGAAATCCCTTGGGTCTTTAGCAGGAAAATATAGGAAAATAGAAACACAGCTCTATTTTATCAGAAGGGAGAAGGGAGACTGGTCCTTGAGGAATGTTTTGAGTGTGTACAGTTCTTCTGTAAAGCATGTTTTCATGTAAAGTAATGGGTAATTTGAACACAAAAAGGCATGAGAAGTGGTATGTGATTTAACTAACACCCCAGAATTTATTCCACAGCAAGTCCTATTTCTCATTCCCTGAACGATACACAATTAGAGGTCCGCGTGCTGGGGAAGTACTTGTATAATTGAGTAAACAGGAACAAAAACCAGTGGATTCTAGGCTAACCGTTCCCCAGTCTTATTAAATTGCAGGTTCTATACATGAACTGCTTTAAACATAGGTTTACATGTCTAGCTCTCTAGGAGGAATGGTGTTTTTCTCCTATATACAAGTGGAAATGTTGACATCTCTAATAAATTTTAACAAAATCTTTTTTCTCACTTCAAGTTTCTATCTTCATCTCTCAAAAATGTGTGCAATTCAACTCAATGCTAGCAGATTATAGAAGAAACACTTTGATCTTATCTTCACATGCCAAATATGGCATTATTTTTAAGAAGGCTTTTGTTAGGTTGGCACCTTAAAGACAGAGGCAAAGTTGCCATTCTTAATGTTGGGGGCTAGCCAGAGGCATACTACTTAGGGTAGCTGAATCTCACGTTGTTGACTGCATGGTTTGAGTCCTGGACCTGGCAGCTTGAAAAACACATCAGGTGCATGTGCATGCATGCCCCAAAGGAGAGAAGAATGGAGGAGAAGGGATTGCAGTGTGGCCATCCCCCCTGGAAAGTGCTTCTCACAGTCTCTCTGTCATTCTCCAGCAAGAGCATGTGCCCTATAGAAAATTTTTTTTTAAAAAAGGTTAATTTTGGCCACAAAGTCATAGTCATTGATAAGAGATTATATGTGTGTGTGTGTACAGTATATATAATATATGTAGTATATAGTATATGTATATAGTATATACATACTATGTTACATACTATGTGCATAATATATATGTATATAATATATACATACACACATATAATATCTTAGCAAAATGAAAAATCAGATTCACTATTAGAATAAAACACTCTATTGGCAGTCATGTATTTTTAGGAAGAAAAATATGCCCAATTGGGTGTGGTCATTACAATCCCTTCTCTTCCATTTCTCTATCCTGTCAACAATCTGGGCATGCATACACAGGTACTCAGGATGTTTTTCAAGCTGCTTGGGCTGAGATTCAAATATCTGTCAGCCATGTGGGATCTGGTTTCCTTAACTACTAGGCTATGCTGCTGGCCTATTGGCCACATCTTTCTTTAAAAAGCAAGTAAGACTGGTGGGACGTAGGCCTGGATGAGGCAAACAAGTGAAGGCTCAAGGGATTCGGACAAGCCCTCTTTGATTCTTCTTCTTTCTGAGCCTCTCTGCTCATCACGGTGTCCCCTAATGTTTTCTCCACAGTCTGAAGCACTACCTGATTATCACTTCAGTAGATGCACTAAACAAACAGTGTGCTATGGACTACTCCTAAATCTGCAGTCCAGCTCTGACCTCGCTCCAACTTCTACCACATGCATTATTCTTTGCTTGAACAAGTTCAAGTCTCTTAGATGCTAGAGGGCATGATAGTGTGGGAAGTGGGACAGGGTTATTTAGTGGCCATGGAACAGAGTCAAGAAAAACCTAAAGATGACACCTAGGATGGAGTTGGGAATCAAAGAGGCAAGTCAAAAGGAATGTTTTTCCAACTAGAAACGATCTCTAAGCCCAAGGTGATGAGGCTTTGGTAAAAGTCTGAAAGTCGGAGGAAGGGTGGGGGAGAGGGGGGAACAGAGCCTGGCGAGATGGCCAAGCAGTCATCACTTATAGCTGCTATCTAACAACTTTTCTAAAGCTCATGCTGTTTTAATCAGCTAGCTACATGAGTGTGATGGTTCATTTTAGGTGTCACCTCGACTGGATCAAGACTACCTAGAGATAAGATTATTTTGGGGTGTGCCTTTGAGTATGTTTTCAGAGATTAGCCTGAGAGTCTCACTGGACTAAGGAGGGAAGATTCTCCCTTCAATGTGGATGGTATCATATTAATATAGTCAGCTAGAGCTCTGGATAAAATAAAAGTGGAGAAGAAGGTGAATGTGTCTGAATCTCTCTTCTGGAGCTAGAATACAGTCTTGTCCTGTCCTTGGACATAAGAATTCCCAGGACCCTAGATTTTGGATTCCATGATTTACACAAGCAGCTTCCTAGGTCCTGAAGCCTTCAGACTTGAGTTGAGTCTTGCTACTGGAATCCCAGGGTCCCCAGCTTGCAGATGGCTTGTCATGAGACAGCCTTTAAAAGCACATGAGCTAATTCCCCTAATAAATCTCCTCTCATATATCTACAGATCCTGTTGGTTCTATTTCTCTGGAGAACCCTGATTAATACAATGAGATAAATGAGTCAATTAATTTTCCTAGAATTTGACCTGTTTAATCTGGCCTCTGAACCCCTGTTAATATATTACATTTATTCAGCCTGGAATGCCTTCCCCCTCTGCCGTTTCTCCCGTCTCCCCTCTTCCCTAAGCCTTTGCTAATCACTGCTCCATCACTGAACTCCCCATGAATCATCTATTTGGCCTAGAGCATGTGTGAGTGGCAATAACAAGAGCAGGTAACATTTCTGGAGCACTTGCTAGGTGCCAGGGCCAGTGCTGTGTACTTTACATAGATGAGCTCATTTTGTTTTCTAATATTATTTAACTTCCTATATGTGGGATTCACTTTCCCAATAATCCCCTAAAATATAGGGCCGTCTTTTATCTTTCTGCACCCCAGTGACTAATGTAGAGATGTGCTAAGATTTGTAAGTGGTGAGTACAATAAGAAGATAATTTTTTCTTTAAATATGGTAGTAATAATAATAATAAGATACAATTAGCAGAATTCTCCAGAAGGAAGAAGAGCAGAGGTAATATAAGGAAAAAAGGCCTAGATATCCACAGGTGTCCAATCATGGAAGGGTTGATTTGGAAAAGTCCCCAGCAACAGAGGTATTCAAACAGAAGCAGAATAACTGACAGTGAAGAGCTTCTGAGACCTTGTAGGGAGTTAGTCTAAATGCTATCTAAAGAATCTTCCGATACTGAGATTCTAGTGTCTGTTTAACGATTCTACAAAAATTTATTGAGTTCTGGGCTAGAGAGAATAATGGTCGCCTTAAAATGTTAACGTCCTAATTCTTGGAGCCTATGAATATGTTACCTTTCCTGGCAAAAGAGACTTTGCAGATATGATTAGGCTAAGATCTTGAGATGGGGAGATCATCCCAAGTTATCTTGATGGATCCAATCTAATCATGAAGGTCCTCATACAAAAGCAGGAAACAGACATGGAAAGTAAACAAAGCCAGGGAGAGAATGGACAAGGCTGTCAGGGCAGACAGGGTCTTGGGGAGGCAGAGAGAACAAGGAGTCAAGAATGAGTCCTAAAAAGTAGGAGAGAGTGCTGGAGAAGGCAATCGGTGTGGCCCTTTGTACGTGATCCACCAGGAACAATCCTGAGTTTTACTCGCCTGTCTTCAATGTCAACTCTCGTTCTTGTTCTGAACTATGATATTTGTTACAATAAAGCTATCTGTACTAAACGCATTCAGAGGCTGAGAGAGTAGATGGATTAGTGGTGAGAAATTCCATGTGACAAAAGACTTTGCATGTCCTTGTATACCCAAATTTTTGTTTATTATTTTTGTTAATTTTTAGATTTTGTAAGTATTAAAAAATAATGGAAGTGCTACTGATGAAGGTAGAATGGGAGGCTCCAGGGCCCTGCTAAGGCCTCCCCTTCGAGCTTCCTCCATTGCCACCTAAGGCAGACACCAATGGTGCTTACTCAGCAGCTGTCCTTCACTCTTTTCTTGCAGGCAGAACCCACCTCCTATGGACATTGAAAATGCCAGATCCTTGTTTTTTCATCTTTCCTTGCAAGACAGGCCTGGGCGTGTGGCCAAATCTCAGCCAAGAATATGTGAAAAGCAATCTTTTTGAAGACTTTGGAAAAAAAAGAGGTCTTCTCCATTAAAAAAGACATGCACGGGAGAATCAGCCTCACTCACGCATTCTATTTTTGCAAGCTGTGTGAGATGCAGTGTTTGGAACAACCACCACCCTGCAGCTGTGAAGGAAGGCATAACCTATGCACTAGGAGGTGGATGGGCCCCGTGTGACCTCGAGTCACTGCCAGAATTACCCTGGGGCAATCTCTGGACTGTGGGTACAAGAGAAAACAAAATGTTTAGCTGTCTGTGACAATGTTAGTTAGGT